AGCCGCTGCTCGGGGGTGGACAGCCCTCCTGCCTTATGTCGGGCGTGTCCCCCCACAGGGGGATCTTCGATGAAAGCTAAGATGTTCCCGGCAAAGCAACCTAGCAGCGATGTGTACAAGCATATCTGGAAGCATTCCCCTTAGAATTCTGCAGTTCTCGCAGTCGCAGTCGCATTCGCAATGACAGTCACAGTGGCAACGGCCTTAGGATCCAATGGAATCCTAAGAATTCCTAGGGATTCCTAAGGTATCCTTAGGCATCCTTAGGAATCCATAGGAATCCTTAGGAAACCTTAGGAATCCTTAGGAATCCTGGTTCCTAGGGATTCCTAAGGATTCCTATGGAATCCTAAGGATTCCTAAGGATTCCTGAGGATGCTTAACTATGCCTACGGATTCCTAAGGATGCCTACGGATTCCGAAGGATTCCTGGGTATTCCTCAGGATTCCTATGGATTCCTACGGATGCCTCAGCCTGCCTCAGTTTCAGCCTCAGCCTCAGCCTGCCTCGGCTTGCCTCAGCCTCAGCCTCAGCCTCAGCCTGCCCTCGGCTCGCGCCACCTCTCAGCTGCCTCGGCCTCAGCCTCAGCCTGCCTCAGCCTCAGCCTGCCTCAGCCTCAGCCTCAGCCTGCTTCAGCCTCAGGATCAGTCTACCTTCAGCCTCGGCCTCAGCCTCAGCCTGCCTCAGCCTCACCCTGCATCAGCCTCAGCCTCAGCCTCAGCCTGCCTCAGCCTCAGCATGCCTCAGCCTCAGCCTCAGCCTGCCTCAGCCTCACCCTCAGCCTGCTTCAGCCTCAGCCTCAGTCTGCCTTCAGCCTCGGCCTCAGCCTCAGCCTGCCTCAGCCTCAGCCTGCCTCAGCCTCAGCCTCAGCCTGCTTCAGCCTCAGCCTCAGTCTGCCTTCAGCCTCGGCCTCAGCATCATCCTGCCTCAGCCTCAGCCTGCATCAGCCTCAGCCTCAGCCTCAGCCTGCCTCAGCATCAGCCTGCTTCAGCCTCAGCCTAAGCCTGCCTCAGCCTCAGCCTCAGTCTGCTTCAGCCTCAGCCTCAGTCTGCCTTCAGCCTCGGCCTCAGCCTCAGCCTCAGCTGCTCAGCCGCAGCTTGCCTCAGCCTCAGCCACAGCCTCAGCCTCAGCCTCAGCCTGCCTCAGCTTCAGCCTCAGCCTCAGCCTGCCTCGGCTTGCCTCAGCCTCAGCCTCAGCCTGCCTCAGCCTCAGCGTCAGCCTCTCAGCCTCAGCCTGCATCGGCCTCAGCCTCAGCCTCAGCCTGCCTCAGCCTCAGTCTCAGCCTGCCTCAGCCTCAGCCTCAGCCTCAGCCTCAGCCTCAGCCTCCCTCGGCCTCAGCCTGCGTCAGCCTCAGCCTCAGCCTGCCTCAGCCTGCCTCAGCCTCAGCCTCAGCCTGCCTCGGCGTGCCTCAGCCTCAGCCTCAGTATGCCTCGGCCTCAGCCTGCCTCGGCCTCAGCCGGCCTCAGCTCGGGCATTCAAAGCATGGCACAGGGCTGGTGTTCTGGGAACACGAAGATCACGAAGTGGCCCACAGTTGGCTTCGGGCAATCAAAATATGGTACAGGAATAGTGTTCTGGGAACACGAAGAACACGAAGTGGCCTACAGTTGGCCCCGGCAATTTAAATGTGGCCTGGGAACCGTCTTCTGGGAGCACGACGAACACGAAGTGGCCTACAGCTGGCTCCGGGCATTCAGAATGTGGCCTGGGAATGGTGTCCCGGGAAGACGAAGAACACGAAGTGGCCTACAGTTGGTTCCGGGCATTCAAAATGTGGCATGGAAGTGGTGTTCTGGGAACAGAATCCGTAGGAATCCATAGGAAACTATAAGAATCTATAGGAGTCCTGGGGAGTCCCCGGATTCCCCGGATTCTCCCGGCATCCGCCCAGACCTTCCTGGGGAGTCAAGATGTTCTCTTTTGACCCCACTAAAAACCTATCAGTCTTCGCTGCTAGGTAAAAATGTTCCAAAAATAATCAAAAATAATCAGAATTCGCCCACAGTCCCGCTGTAGGGGGACACGCCCGACTTAATCCTACCCTGACGCGTCGATAAGCGAATTGGCCGTTTTCGCTTCGCGAGAGGGCGTCGCGGCAGTCATTTCAGCGGGTCCAGGCCCGTCGGCTTCGGTCCTGGGCCGTTTTCATTAAGGGGAGGTGTACGAAAGGGAGGCTTGTCCACCGCCGAACTGCTGGCATGAGCAGGCGCTTTCGGGGATCCTCGCGGACGTCTCGGATCGGCGCTGGCTAGACCCCCCTCTTTCGGCGCGCGCAGCGCTCCAGGGGCGGCGCCGGGGGCGCCGCCAGCGAGGCCCCGGCGCCGATCCGAACAACAAGTCCGCGCGGACCTCCGGAAGTGTATGTTTATGCCATCAGTTCCGGTAGCGAGTCATGGGAGCCTGGTGCACCCTCTTGATTCCGTCTTTAGCGTCGATTAGCGTCTGGGAGTCGATGAGATAGCGCCGATTTAGCGTCGGCTGGCGTCCATTAGCATGGATTGAGCGTCGGCTAGCGTCGATTCAGCGTCGGCTAGCGTCGATTCAGCGTCGACTAGCTCGATTCGCAAGAGCCGACAGGATGGTACGGGAGGCTCCCATGAGTCCCCACCGAGATTGTTTGTTCCGCGACTGGCCTGCCTTCCTCTGAGCATCGCGGCCCAGATCGGGTGGTGCGCCACCTTCCGCGAGCCCTTCAAGGGCGACGAAATCTGTACACATCCACTGCTCCCTGGCCAGGCCCATCCTGAACCCAGCAGCGGTGCATACGCCACACCCTCCTGGCGTATGGCCAGGAGGGCGTCTACACAGCTCCTGGGCTCAGGATGGGCCTGGCCAGGGAGCAGTGGATATGTGCCCAGACATGCGACGTCCTGCTTGTTTCAGGATGGCGTCCCTGGAAGTCCCCACCCTCTCCCCGGGACCGGTGGTTCGTCCCGAGTCCTTTTCTGACGCTCCCGAGGCCCGGCGAGGGCCCCCTTGGGCCGGAAATGACCGAAAAGCTCCCGTCCTCAGTTTTTTGGCAATGACGCGATCCTGTCTGGGTATAGTGTATACAGTCAACCCGCACAGTAAGGATGAGCGACTTCCCAAGGGTACCCTTGCATCCTTGCCTCTTCGGTCATCTTCGGCCCATTCTCAACCGCTTTCGAAGGCCAGTCCCGCTCGAAGAGCCTCGGCATGGGCGTCCAAGGCCCTTGCATCCTTACCGCGCATCCTTACTGTACGGGTTGACTGCAGTGTAGGCTTCGTCGCCTTGCCTTCGGCGTCCCCGGGCTCCTGGTGTCCTCCGCCTGCCTGGGCCTCTGCGCCGTGCTGCTGGGCGGGGCGCACGCGGCGCTGTGCGGGCTCGCGGCCGAGGGCGCGCTCGGCGCGGTGGCGGGCGCGCTGGTGCGCCTGCCGATCACGCTCCACTTCGGCTGGAGATCGGAGGGGGCATAGTCACTACAGTCGACCCGAATCATAAGGATGCGCGGTAAGGGTGCAGGGGCCTCGGAGGGCCAGGTGAGCGGTTGTTCGAGCGAGGCTGGCCAGCGCAAGTCGCTAAGGACGGGCCGAAGGGGCAAGGACGCCAGGGCACCCTTGGCAAGTCGCCCATCCTTACTATGCGGGTCGACTGTAGGCCTCCTGGATGGTCAGAGGAGCAGAACCCAGGCAGCATCGCGTCGTTAGAAGAAAAATCAGGGCGGGAGGTTGTTGGCCATGTTCGGCCCCGGGGGGCCCTCGCCGGGACTCGGGAGTGTCAGAAAACGACTCTGGACGAAACACCAGTCCCGGGGAAAGGGTCGGGACTTCCAGGGACGCCGTCCTGCAAACATCAGGACGTCGCATGTCTGTGGAAGGTACCCATAACTCTATCCTCCCCTCGTTTTCCCCCTTTTTGGGTTTCCTGGGAGACCCTCGCCGCCACCGCTGGATTCGCCTCGAACTCCTGGTCAGAACGCGCTCCGGGAGAGGTCTGGGGAGTAGCGGTATCGGTACCTTTGGTGTCCCCCGATCTGGGGTCGGAGTGCTGCGGCGGCATTGGCTGAGGAACGTTTTCCCGGGTTCAAGGCCCTGGCGCATTCTTGATATTGTGTTCAACATCTAAAACCTGCGCCGTAGATGGGGGCGGAGAATCGCGCCGCATCGCCGACGCATCGCCGACGCATCACCAATGCATCGCCGACGGCGCCGGTATCGGTACCTTTCCGGGTTCCCCCAGGATCAAGGGAGGAAACACCACCCAGACCTGATCATTGGCGTTTACTAAACGGCCTTGGGCGTTTACTAAACAGCCCTGCCCTGCTCGATTCCTTCTTTGGGTGCGTCTACTAAGCGACTTCGCGGCTGATCATTATGAGGGTGGATGTTCTGCCCTCTGCAGGATCAGTTGCGCCGCCCTGGTCAACCTGAACAACTGGATGGCCAACAGCGGCTCGGGCCTCCGCGCCAAGCTGGTGTTGGCCTACGGCTCGGTGGCCGCTGCCGTGGCGGCCGCCGGCTGCGTCTCGGCCGCCCGCCGCGACCCGGTGTATCCGCTCGTGGTGGCCTGGTCGCTGACGGCCGTCTACCGGTTCAGCGCGCGGGACGGGAGCCCAGGTCAGAGGGCGCCAACGATACACCCACACCGATCTTGGCCAGGCCCGTGTCGGGGAAGCGTAAGACTCGAGCACGCCGGCACGCGGGTTTGCCGGCGCTTTTTGGCGAGCGCGTCCTGGGTTTGGGCGGTCCAGTGCTCGTGGGATGTCTGCAGCGGGGGCTCCACCAAATTTCAGATTGGGTCTCGTCATTGCCATCAGCGCCCCATCAGGCCAACCCGATTCCCCCGAACCCGAGTCTCACATCTCCCCGACCATGCTGGCTCCAGGATCGGTATCAGATATGCCGTACTCGCCAAGCCAGGACGGCGTAGGCGCCGATCCTGGGCTCAGGAGGGGTCTGGCAAGGATCGGTGTCGGTGCACAGTGGGGCGAGGCAGAACAGAAACGGGCTCGACTGCGCCAATATTAACGCGTAAGGTTGCGCGTAAGGTTGCGCGTGAGCGCCCTCGCTTCCAGCGTAGCGTGCCGCGCTGGCGGGCCGCGTGAGCCGCGGCGCAAGGTCGCTGTGCCATCTCGCGTGAGACCCGTTTCTGATCGTCGCCCAGTTGGTGGCCTCCTACCAGGGCCGCTGCGGGCCGCGGAGCTAGGCGGGGCGGCGGCGGCGGCGTGCATGGTGGTGGCGTGCTGCGTGTGGGGGGCCTGAGGCCCAGAGCTCAGCGCGTGCGCTCCGTGCGGTGGCCGCTGCGAGGAGCCGCGCAGGCGGTCAAAAGGGGGGCAGGGCGGGCTCCCGCCCACGGTGCGGTGATCGCGCGGCGCTGTGAGTGAGTGAGCGACGCAAGAAGTCGTTTGCGCCGACTTTGGGCGCGTGAGCAGCCCGCGTAAGGCCGCGGGCAAGCGCCCTCGTTGCCAGTGCAGCGTGTCGCGCCGGCGGCCCGCGTAAGCCGCCGCGTAAGGTCGCTACGCCATCTCGCGAAAGACCCGTTTCTTTTCGTCGCCCAAGTGGGGATTCGGGGTTACAGCACGGTTCTGAACCTCGGGTCGTTCTCCGAGACAGCGCTGACCGCTTGCCACCATGCAGTTTTCACGTAGGAGCAGTGCGGGTGCCCCTGAGCTCCTGGCTTGGCTAACTCATTAGCTCGCTTATTACCCTGCCACATGCAGGGTCTGAATCCATCTGGCCTAGGTCTAGTGAGGGAGAGGTGAGATTCGATCTGACTTGGCCTGATGAGGTCCCAGCCGTAGTCCGTCCGCCCCTCTCCAGAAGATCTTCTACCAGAGCTCCGAACGGGCAAGATTCTTAATGACCTGCTGGGGCCCCATGAGCCACAGGTGGAACACCATTTTCCAGCTCATGCATATTCTCAGCTCGCCCGGTCCTGCGAGCCTAAGGCACATCAACAAAGCAACCACCTTACCGCAATCGCTTGCTTGCACTGGGTGGGGAAGTGGTCCATACGCCGAACCTGCGATCACAATAACACTGGAGCTATGTGTCCTGGCCCTGTCGATGACACCCACCACCGCCCACCCAGCTCTGGAAAATTAAGGCAACGTCGGGTCCAGGCAGGACCCGTCGATGCAGATCTTGCTTTTCAGACATCCTCCCTGCGGGCGGACTTCCACTTCCAGCCTGGACCAGCCGGGGCTAGGACGAGGATAAACACGTTCCAGAGCGTTCCGGAGCGCTCTCAGAGCGTTCTGGAACGCTCTGAGAAGGCCCGCGGCGCCCGAGACGACATCCTCCAGAGCCGTCGGATCTCAAAGATTCTCGGTTCATCTTCGCCCGATGTTGTCTTCGTCCTAGCTTCGTCTTCGTCCTCCTTGCGGGCGGACTTATGTTTCCAGCCCGGATCCTCGAGAGGTCGGTGCCACTCCCGCTTCCTGCTGGCCACGAGCGCGCAAAGGGGTCCAGCAGGCCATCTCCTGGTCGCCGATCAGACTCTGGTCCAGCCCAGGAGCATACGCTCGCAGATGGTCGTGCACTTGTTCGGACCATCTTGAGGGACCGAGACCCAAAGCAATACAGGCGTTCCAAAAAGAGCTTTCCTTCGAGGATCGAAGGACTTGTCATCTCTTCCGCGGCGGAAGGTCGGCGGAAGGCGGCGGAAGGAGAACGAGGCCGCATCCGCTGGCGGAAGGCGGGCGGAAGCCGGCGAAAGCAAAAGTCGACCTCCCAAGAGGTGACATTCTTTTGCGTTCAGAGTTTCCAGAATCTGCCATGTTGATTTCCCTAGCCATTCTGCTCAAGCTACAGGGTTCCGGCCGCTGCGGATCTGTTACCGTTCTCTATCAGCACACTGCACCTTCACGGGACCTCGCTCGCTTGGTTCTGCAGACTATTATCGGCCATGGTTGTTGCACGTGCAAATTTCCTGGTCATATTTCAGTTGTTGCCTGCCCATGCTGTCGGCGGCCTGATGTACTCCAGTGTCCACGAGAAGATGATCAAGGCAGAAACGATCAAGGAAGGAACAGCGGCAAAGCGCAAGATGCAGGAGGGAAAAGCGGCCAAGTACGAGATGCAGGAGGGAAGCGCCATCAAAGTCGAGATGCAAGAGGGAAAAGCGAACAAGCATGGGACGCAGGAGGGCAAGGCCGCAAAATCCAGGACGCAGGAGGGGAGGATGAGCCGGTACGGCACCCAGGAGGGGAAGACCACCAGGTACGCGATGCAGGAGGGATCTACCAGGCACGGAGCGCTCGAGGGGAATCTGGACAGGACCGCCCTGGGCTCGATGAACAAGATGGGGGTCACCCGCTACAAGCGTCGCATCTCCCGAAGAGCCGAGAGTCAGCACGGCTCGTTCTATTGGGGCGACTCGTCCAACCACAACGGGCAGGCCTACGCGGGCGCGACGGACCTCATGGACAACCTCTCTTGGGGCTGGCACCACCCGAGCGGCCTCTACGCCACCATCCCAGTCGGCAGCCCCCTCATCGATGACGAGATGAACATCTACGTCGGATCCGACGACGCCATCCGGAAGTTCAGCGTGGCTGGCGACATCATTTGGAGCTACGCCCCCCGAGGTCAGCTCGCAGCGGCACCCACCCTGTACATGGGCGGCAGCAGGCGCGTGGCGGACCCCGTGAGCGAGGAGGAGGAGTTGGAAGAGGCGCTGGTGCGGCCGGACTGGGTCCAGGGCAACGAGTCGGAGCCCTCAGCCCAGCTCTTCAGGGACTTCAAGCTCGGCGACCTCGTGAAGGTGAAGCCCGGCGCGAGGTACATGGCGGACGGCAAGGAGCTCTACAAGGAGGGCGACCAGGGCGTGATCTCCGCCATCGTCGACGAGGGGGGCAAAGATGCCAGGGCCGTCATCCAGTGGGGACACAGTGGGCACAAGAGCGCGGTGCAGCTTCACGCCATGAAGGACCGCTTCGTCCACGCGGGGCAAAGGTATGCCGCCGCATCCGGCTCCATGCTGGTCGGGAGCACCACCGCCGGCTTCGTGTTCGCGATCGACCTCGCCACTGGAAACGAGCTGTGGGCAACCTGGGCCTCGAACGAGATCGCTGGCGTCAAGGGGTCTGTGGCTGCCAAGGACGGAGTCGTGGTGGTCGCGACCGACCGCTGCACCGACCGGTACTGCTACAGGTACCGCAACCAGACCAACGTCTTCACGCCCGGCAACGCCTATGTGCGGGGCTTGAGCGCAGCGGACGGCACCGCGATCTGGGAGTTCAAGCCCACGTCGCCCGTGTGGAACATGAACCCGCTCTGGGGCAACGACGGCAAAGTGATGTTCCAGGACTGGGAGGGCAGGCTGTACGGCCTGGACCTCCAAACCGGCGTCCGAAGATTCCGGGTGGGTGGCGACTGGGGGACGCACACCCATGCAGCTGCGGTATATTCTCCAGGACACAACGTCGTTATAGCCATGGGCATGATCCATTACAACAAGATGAACTACCACATGGACGACGCCCTCGGCGTCCCGATCAAACACTGCAATCCGTACGTGGCACCCGGCATCCTTCCGCACTGCTGGACGTGGCCAGGCCTCAGGGGCTTCGTCCGGGGCTACAATGCCAGCTCCGGCAGGAAGCTTTGGGAGACGAGCACGCCCGAGCCGCCGTCTGGCGCCAGCATCGGCCAGGTGGCCACCATGGGCTCATTCAGCACCCGCCTGATCTTGACCATGGGCTTCAATTGCTTCGTCAACTCTCCCACCCAAATCTGGAGCATGGACCCCAACAACGGCAATAAGCGCTGGATGTTGAACGGCCCGACGCTGTGGACCAGCCACTGTGCCAGCGACAAGGAGGGCCAGGACATCCGGCGGGCCATGGGCGGCCGCGCCACATGCTCACCGAACAGCTGGTCTGCACCCGTGACAGATGCGCTAGGTGACATTTACGTCGGCAACCAGGTCGGCGTGCTGCAGAGAATCGGTGCGGCGAACGGAGGGGGGGCCAAGGACATCCAGCTGCTCTCTACCCTGACGACCGGCTCGGCCTTCCAGGATGCGGCCATCGCGTTCGGCGACGGCGTCATGGCCGTGTCCACATGCACCTCCTTGTTGGTCTTCCAGACCTACGCGCAGAACTTCACGACGGAGACCTGGTCGTTCACGCCCAAGCCGACGCACGACTTCCACCTCCACGGGTACGAGTCCACGGGCGGCACGTCGCTCAGGTAAACCAGGCCGGGCACCTTTTCGGCGCCCGCTGGCGCCGCCGCCTGGACCGGAGGAGAGTGAGGCGGAGGAGGGCAGAGAGCGGCAGCCGCGCATGGCCAGCACCCTGCCTCGAGACTGGATGCTCTCTAAGTTTCGGATCCCAAAAAGTACATTGGCGAATGACCCAACCATCTGCCCGTGCGAGGGCCTGATAGGGCCACGGAGCATGCGGAAAACAGAGGATGGACTGGGATGAGGGAGGGGGAGGAGACGCGAGGAACGCGGGGCCATGCTGCTTCACAACGAGGATCCAACACCACAGGATGGCTGAGGAAAGACACATTCATCTGGGCTGATACCCCTCCTCGGTAGTGAACGCGTCGACGGCTTGGACTGACCATCTGATGGCTTTGGCTCGTCAAGAACACTGCACCTGCAGGCCCACGGACGTCTGCCCATCTGAACTCAGGCCAGCCACGGGCTTCCTCGAAGCACCCCTCCAGGACCGCTCGCGGGGTCCAACCAAGACGCAACCCTCGCCCCCGAGACAATACTGGACATAGCGACTCGCATCGCAAGGCCGGGTCGGCGCGGGAGTTCGCGCTCAGAAGAAACTCCGAAGTACGACAGCGCCCCTTGTCAGCTTCAAGACTCACGCTGGCAGCGTTCTTTAAGGAGTCCTAGAGGATTCCTTATCTGATAAGGGCGGCGGCGATATCCATGGCCAAGCCTCATTGTGTTCCATCGTCTGCCAGACCCTGGATTCCGTATATTAGGGGTTTCTTGTCCAAAGCCTTCACCGTATGGTGTTCCGAAGTGTCTGAAGCCTCGTGGTCGTCAATGCCTCGAACCCTCACGCCGTACGTACTTGAGGCCATGCCTCCAACTCTAGCAACAGTCATCAATCCATTGAAACTGTGTCGAAGCCCACGGAGGCTTGCCAGTCGAGGTCTGAGCTCATTGGCCTGAGTGTCGGCGACCACGGAACTCGCAGGACCCTGGCTCCCCATGTTGTGATCCACATGGCCTTCCAAGTTTATCCTCTGGCGCGTAATGGCCGTCACCCGGGCCAACCCCGCTCCCCCTCGCCCCCCCAAAGGTAACGGTAACGAGCGTGCGCGGGGGGGGGGACTTGGATCCCCCCCAACATGCACGTGCTCGCGCGCATATTGGCGATCGCAGCGCACCCTCGTGCCCCACCCCGCCCAAGGGGGGGACACCCCACAAGTGAGGGATATCAGCGTTGCGCTGATAGGACACGAAAGGGGCAATCTTCGGTGCCAGCGGGACTTAAACTATACAAGCCGGATTAGGGCGAGCCCCCAAAGAAGAGGACGACGACGAGCAGGACCCCCCTCAACAGAGGCACCCCCTTTCCCAGCCGCAACCCTGCGCGAGCCGCCTCGGCAGACAGCAATGGCGGGTTCGGCGCACCTCATGCCCAGGCTCCCCCCCCGGAAGGGAGGTGTCGGCAGAAATCGCACACCAATGCCAGAAGCCGAAGGAGGGCGCAAGAGGGACAAGAAACGTCAAAGGTACCTCGTGCGCAAAGGAGCCCAGCCCGCTGCACGGCCTCTCCCCCAGGGGCCCGGGACCCCAAACCCGGAGTCTCTGCGGCAGGCCCTCCTCTGGCCGCGGGCGACAGGGCAAAGCCCCCGTCCGTGCACGCACCTGCCCCGTAGTTCAGAGGTGGACAGACCTCCTACCCTGACACGTCGATTAAGGAATTGGCTGTTTTCGGTTCGCGAGAGGGCGTCGCGGCCGTCATTTTAGCGGGTCCAGGTCTGTCGGTTTCGGTCCCAGCCTGTTGTCACTAAGGGGAGGTTTACTAAAGGGAGGTTTGTCCACCGCCGAGTAGTGGAGGTAAGGGCCGTCTCCGGATGTTGTTGAGTGACTCTGTAGACGCCGCGCTGCGGGCACCGGCGAGCCTGGCCCGAGGCCGCTCAGCCTGCGCCGACGAGCCGCACGTCCCAGCGGCTCCAGGTCGTCCCAACGTTGCGTTCTGACGCTTGCGTACTTGGCTGTGCTGTGAGGTACTCGATGGGATCGGGGTCATACGGCACGGAGCCAGCTGGAGTCCCAAACATTCACCTAACCCTTTCTTAGTGGATCAACCTGTTCCTGAGGTCCCGGGGGAGTACCTCCTGCACATTCCCTGCCACTGGCTGCAATGAGACCCACGTTGAACCACCTCTCCCCATCATCGGGAGCAAAAGAACCCCTAACCCTCGCTCGCCGCCGACAGTCACGAATGGCAGCCCTCTGCCGTACAGCTCCGCTCGTTGCCAAGCAGGAGGAGTGTGGTCTTTCGCTTCTTTCCGAGACACCGCCCTGCGGCAGATCGAGGCGGGCCAGCTGAAACCTCCGGATGCTTCGGTCGAGCAGTGGCGAAGCGTCCCTTCTTGCATACATTCGAACCAGCGGAATGTCTAAGAGCATCTGGTGGTCTGCACGGAGTGTTCTTAGAGCATTTCTGGTTGATGCTGTATTGTTTTGACACATCGGGCTTATACTGTCAGCGCATGGCATTTGTTCTTAGAACGTGCTTGGGTTCTAAGAACACCTCGTGGGAAGCCTCTAGGAATGCCGGGACAGTCGGTCCCTGCTCAACAGGCGTTTATCCATCGTGCAGACACTCTGTGGGTTTGGGGCAGGGTGTTTGTTTACAGTGGGGACCCTCTCCCCGCGAACGGTCGCCAACAAACTCGCGCCCCCGCCGAGAGGCTCCCAGCTTCTGCAACCTCCGAGGCATGACGGCAGCAGTTCCACCCCTGCTTCGGAAGCTCATTGATTTCGACTTGCGAATCGACCTCTCCTGGTTCAATCATGAAATGATTCTTTGGCATACGATCACCCTGCTGCCGGTCTCACACTCCAGGCAGCTCTCCAAGGAGCCCCGCCTTGTCCAGTTGCACGTCTCTATAAAAAAGCGGTCTTCCTCACGAGCTACACTAGACTTACGGCCTCTATTCTTCTTGGGTTCCCATCAGATGCGCTCACAGGCTCCTAATCATCAGACACAGGCCGCTGGGCCTTTCATGAACGCCAGCCCGTCCATGACTCCGAGCCCCCTAGGCCCTGAATGGAGGCCAGACGACTGATAGCAGCAAGAGGAGGAGCGGGGCAGGGCAGGGGAGGAGGGACCGCCAGAGGCGGCAGGTGAAGCTCCGCTGCGCCTCCCAGGGTGCGGAGCCTGCGCCCCTCCCTTTCGTTGTCTCCCCGGCCCGGCACGGCTCCCCCCAACGCCCGCGGAGTTGGCGCTGGCCGACCCGCATCCAGCGGGCAGGCCCTGGGTCGATGGCCACATGTGACCCCCCCCGTTCGAAATCGTGGGGCGTGGGGGGGGCAGGGTTCACATGTGGCCACCTACTTGGCCAACGCCGCTGCAGCTGGGGCACGCACACCTTTGCTCTGACTGCTGCTGCTGCTGCTGCTGGCAGTCCCAGCTCCACTGCCACTTGCACCGAGGGGAGCATGAGCAGGAGTATGCGTCGCAGCGCCTTCCTGACATTCACCCTCCCCGATGTGGCTAGGGACTTCTCCTTCGCTGCAGCAGCTTGGTAGACCGGTTGCTCATTGCCCTGCAACTGAGCATCTTGCTTAGCGAGCTCCTTGTCCAGGCGGTCAGCGGTGACCCTCGCATCTCCGAACAGCGGTGTCGCTGTTTCCTTGATGGCATCACAAAGTTGGACTCGGCGGCGCTCGGCCACAACCTGGTCCTCCTGCTCCACATACACAACTTCGATGAGCCCGAAGAGCCCGTGGGCCCCCATGATCTCGAACTCCGAGTTATCCCCGCCAAGCTATTTCCCTAGGTCCAGCTTGCGCTTGAGGTTGTTGGCCCCAGCCTGCTGCCACTCCTGGATATCGCAGTGCGTCTTGCCCACCGCTGTCTTGTACTTCTGATCTGCCTCCTCTAACTCCGTGGTGAGACGACTGCGCAACTCGTACTGACTCAATAGGCTGGGCTGCCAGAGCGCGAGGGTGCCAAGCTCCACGTTGAGTCTCGTCTCCAAGCTCGCCAACATCGAATGTGCAGTGAAAACCTGCACCGGCAACGGCGGTGCGCCCTCGTCTCTCGTAAGTTTGATGCCCAGCGCACGTTCGCACCGATGCACCACGGTTGGGTCTCCTGACTGTTGCCCCGACACCGTCATGGTTTCGCGCTCTCCTGCCGAGCGCGCGAGATCCTGCAGGCTGGGCGGACGGCCAGGGATAGGGATCCTTACTCCCTCTATGTCTCCAGCTCCCCGACATGAGACCCTGCGTCCGCGCTGGCGGCATGTCCACTTGGGACCCTCCCCACCCTTGCCCTTCTTGGTCTCGCCCTGCCGCCCAGCCGCCAGCCATGGTGCAGAACGGGACGGGACGGGAGGGACGACGTTCGGCCGAACGTGCTGGAGTGAACTGCCAAACAATGAGGGCGGCCACAACCATGCTCGAGCTTGGGGGATGGAGTTCCCGCACACGGTTTCCTCCGCCGCCTCCGCCTCCTTCTCCTCCCTTCCCTTATGCCTCTCCGTTCTCCCTCATCCTCCCTCCCTCTTCCCCCTCCTTCTCCTATTTCTCCCTCCTCCGCCTTCTCCAACGCCTCCTCCTCATCATCAGCATCATCACCATCATCATCATCAGCATCAGCATCAGTATCAGCATCATCATCATCACCACCAGCATCATCACCATCTTTCGCATCATCTTCATCTTGTATTGCTCGCGGTGTGTACTGTATATGTTTGTTCGCCGTTAGCCAAACCATGTAGCCACGTGTTGGTAGTTGCCTATCGCAGCACAGTGCAGTGCATGAATCGTGTAATGCCATACTGTTGCAGTTTAGCCGTTGTGCATGGTGCAGCTCGTCATTCGCGCTTGGGGAAGCCACCTCGAGAGGCCGCGGACTTCGCTATTTCGCCCCTGGACGGGCGTCGCTCGTTCTTGCTCTTGTCCGCTCTCCTCTCCTGTGGCCAGCGCGCTGCTCCGACCTCGATGCAGACGTGGGGCCCGAGACGAACCGAACCGAACCTCTTCGTCTCCGTCGTCCGCTGCCTCGCCCTCTCCCCGCGTCGAAGCTCGAGAACCGCGGTCTGGGCCATCAGCAGAGAGCTGATAGGTGTCCTGCCTGATTCCAGGCTCAGCATCCCCCAGCCCTTTTGGCACCCTTCCCC